AATTAACGAAAAGTCAGATCAAAGCCAAATCAGGTTTGCACATGACTTAGGGGGTCCTCTAACGAATCCAAGCATTTAGAACCGTTTTTGACCCTTCTAAGACACTTTTTTAATTGAAAAAAGAAACATCGTTAAGTGAAGCAGGGGACCTAAAATCGCATTCGTTATGCGAAGCATGGTCCCAAACTTCGCTAAGCGAAAATCGCCCATAGGAAACATCGTTATACGGTGCATATTATTTTCTAAAAAAACACATCGTTATGCGAATTCATCGCTAAACGAGGCACTCGTTAAGCGAGGCACCACTGTATGTTTTCTTTTATTATTCTTTGTTTGTTAGCTGCCTAGAGTGGTCCTGAGCTGACTAGATAGGCCGGATATAAATAAATAAATAAACACACAAACAAACAAACAAACAAACAAACAAACCTCAACTTCTAGCCTGCTGAAATTTTCTCATTAAGAATAGCCTGGTAGATACCTTAATGTTACCCAGATATACATACATAGGCATTTCAATTCTACAGTCAATAAACATGTTAACAATTGTTTTACTGGGTATGGAAAGGACATTTTTTTTACATTGCATGAATGGAATCAGATTTGGGTGGCCACCCGTGTTTTCTTCGGCTTTATCCTTCTCAAGAGAGATTGTCATGGGCTTCCCCAATGATGGGAAATGGTGGTTGGAGGTTTTTGCATCCTCTGTGGTTCTAAAACTTGGGAGATGGCATTCCTTGCCCCTCTGTTCTAGATATAGTCTCAGCTTTAAGTAATGTATATTTGTTAAACTTTGAAATAGAAGTGGGCATTTCACGCCTAAATTCCCATCCTTGGCTTAAAGGAATATTTATACTCCATGTTTATTTTAATTTTAGTAATAATATAAATTTCATGGCTTCCACCAAAGAATCGTGAGGTTCATAGTTTAATGGTGGGTACCAAGGAGCCCCACTGCAATTCTTTGCCTATAGCTTCATTTGACCCTAAAGAGAGGGAATAACAGTTAGACTATTTTAAACCGTAGAGAGAGAGCTCTGGTTGATAGATTATTGGACGAAGGCTCAGAGGATAGAGCTTGGCCCATGGAAGCTGAGCAATTGCAATGGTGTAACCCTGGATAGCTCAGTGGTTTATGTATCTGGCTGTGGAGCCAGAGGTTAGGAGTTTGATTCCCCCACTGAGCCTTCTTGATAGGAGCGGGACTCAATGATCCATGGGGTCCCTTCCATCTCTGCAGGTCTGAGTTTATGATGATTATGATTGAGCATCTCACTTGCCTGGAAAATGCTATTAGTGTTATTATAAGTTATACGTGTGTGTGTGTGTGTGTGTGTGTGTGTGCGTGCGTGCGTGCGTGCGTGCGTGTGTGTGTGTGTGTGTGTGTGTGCGTGCACGCCCGTGTGTGTGTGTGTGTGTGTGTGTGTAATCTCCTTTCCTTTCATGCCACTTACATTATTGGTATGTTATTTCTTGTTTGGACAGGTTCATGGTTACTTTGAACCGTTCCTTTCCCATCTTCATGGTACTGGCTTGGATCTACTCTGTCTCTATGACTGTAAAGAGCATCGTGCTGGAGAAGGAAATGAGACTGAAAGAGGCCATGAAGAACAGAGGGGTCACCAACGGGGTGATCTGGTTCACATGGTTCTTAGACAGCTTTATCATGATGGCTCTGAGCACCTTTCTCCTGACAGCACTCATTACGGTAAGCATCACCTCAGGGTAGGCAGCTCAGCTTTTTTTTTCCCCCAGACGTGCCATTTTACACTTGCAGTGCAGGTATAGCCAGGGAACAATGGGAGCTATACATTTTAAAGAAGGAGACAGTGCTGGAGGTCTGGCCTCTTTTTGAGCACGTAGCAGCAGGCACATTCCTTTAAGTAGCCCCCAAAGGCAGCATCAGTACTTGACAGAGACGAATAAATTCCCTCCTGAAACTCCTAAAATTGCCTTCCTGATGAATGCCTCAGGTTGGATTATACTTGACAGGTCACGTTTTTAAATGTGGTGTTCACCCTAAGAAGCCTTCTTTTTGAACCAGATTATGGAGTATTTTCTCCCCTCTGGACACAGGGTTCCAAGTGCTACTAATCAAAAGACACTAGGCACGTATTCTCACCCCCACCACCCTTAATGGGTAAAAAGATTGAAGAAGTAGGGGGAAAGCAGAGGAGATTTAAAACGGAAGGCAACAACACATGGACTTCCTGTAAAATGTCTGCAAACGATTGCACAGTTGCAAAAGCCTCATCTGTAAATAATAATTTGATACCCTGTGGAGAACCAGCGGATAATGATAACTGAGCAACAATAAACAAGTAGTGGACATTTATCACTATCCGGTATATCTTGGGGAGATTGGGTGAGGGGGTGTTACAATATTACTTAATGTGGGTGCACAGAGAGGCAAAGCATTCAAATGCCCTTCAACACTGAGGCATTTATTTTCAGTTTTTAAAAACTTTAATCTGCACAGTCTTTTGTGATCGTTTAGGAGAAAAGTGATGTGCATATAAACAAAGGAATGAATGAACGAACAAACGAACAAACAAATAAATAAATAAATAGCTTACTCTCCGGCTTGTTCAGCTTTCCCCATCATGTACAAGTGAATGTGTGACAACCAGACATTGCTTTGCAAAGTGCTGAGTGGCCCTTGCTGTGGAAGTGACAGCAGAGAAAAAATACCAAAATCTATCCGCCTCCATTTCAGTAGTCTATCTCACTGAGAGAAAATTGTACCTTTGTAGCACTTTGAATGCTCTAGACAGCATTATATAAATCAAGGACAGATGACTGAGCCCCTCCCCCAGATGTTGGACTACAACATCCATCACCATCACCATTGCCAATGTGAGCTAAGACTGATGGGAGCTGCAGTCCAACAACAGCTAGAGGACTTCATGTTGCCCACCATGATATGGGTGCTGAGTCTTATTTCCTGAACATCTCTGTCTCCGCTGCCACAGTGGTGGCCACAATCAAGGACGAAGGTAAAGAACAGGAGGGGTAGAATCCCAGTTCTCAGAGGATGAATACACATTTTGGGTCTCATCAAAGTTATAATAGATAGACTAATTATGGAAACATGCCCAATTATTCCCGGGCTAGCTGAGCATTCTGTTACATGCACAGTGTCCCTCAGTGCAATCAAGTCTTGAGGCTGGTGAAACAGAACAAAAAAGTTCCTCTGATAGGTGCGTAAAATGAGTGTTAAATTTGTAGGATGACTCCCAATAGATTTCTATTAATGAATGCCTGAAATGAGGATAGTTCCCAAAACATTTGACTTTTGCCAGGAATATGTATCTGAATAAATAACATCTTGGAAATTTCTCCTGACAAAGACAACATCAAAAAATGCTAGGAACACTTTACTCTGCTATAAAATTAGGAAGGAATTAACAGTATTCAAACACACATTTTAAAACACACTTGCTTGACCAAGTACTTTTTTTAAAAAAGAAAGACAATATCTGTGTCTTTCTCCTCTGTTTTTGTCTGCAGCAGTTTGTGATTCTGTCGCAATTTAGGTTTCAACTTCCATCATCCTTAGCCAGCAAATTCATTGTGTAACAAAAACTGCAGTCCAGCAGCATCAGGGGAGGGGGGCATAAGTCCCCCAGCCTGCTCTAGAATAAATACAAAGGACCCACTCCATATCACAACATTTCATTGGGGAGTTAAGGTAAACTCGTTGTCACATTTTGTGTGATTGCATTCCACATCCGAGGGACAAAGCCTGAGGTTTACTGCTCCAAAAGGATCCATTTGCATCAGTGCAGTTTAAAAATTGCAGATATGGGGGGGGGGCTGATCTGGATCAGGGGTAAGGTGACAAAATTGCTAAGATCCTGATCATAATTTCTGTGCCTACAATATAGTAAGTAAGATGTTTTATTTCCTCTGTTTGTTTGACAGTAAAAACATATACAGTGGTGCCTCGCTTAACAATTTTAATTGGTGCCAAAAAATTCATTGCTATGGGAAAACATCGCTAAGCGAAACGCGTTTTCTCATAGAGATGCATTGAAGCCTTTTCAATGCATTTCAATGGGGGAGAAAAAAAATCACCAAAAATTCAAAAAGAGTCAGGACGAAGCCAAATTTGGTTAACAAAGGGTTTATTAAGTGCACTAACGATTTCAAGCACTCTAAACCCTTTTTAAACAATTTATCACTTGTTAAAAATAGCAAAAACGGAGCTGTCAAAAACATCGCTAAGCGAAACAGGGGGACGTAAACTGTCATCGCTAAGTGAAGCAAGGTCCTGAACATCGTTATGCGCAATTCCCCCATCGGAAACATTGCTAAACATGACAAAATTGCTAAGGTCCTGATCACAATTTCTGTGCCTACAGTATGGTAAGTAAGATGTTTTATTTCCTCTGTCTGTTTGACAGTGAAAACATATACATGCACACAAAGACATGACTTTTGGCTTTATGCGCAATTCCCCCATCGGAAACATTGCTAAACGGAGTGCAAGATTGCTCCAAAAACCTCATCGCTAAGCGAATACATCGTTAAACGAGGCAATCGCTAAGCGAGGCACCACTGTACATGCACACAAAGACATGACTTTTGGCTTCATCTTTAAAGCATCAACCCCTAGGTTTCCCCCCCACCTTTTGTTTCCCCATATTAGACACGACCTTTCTAATTAGGTTCTTTTTTACACTGGTGGCATTGCCATAGTTTTATACATAGCAAAGCCTTGATGCTGCCTTAAGACCTTCTCTCCTCTTCTCTATCTGCTTCCTATTTTGGTATTGTAAGGAGAAAATGTCCTTTTGATAGCAGATGTTCTGATCCACTCTGTTCTAAAACAAAGACAAAGCCTCCCTGATAAAGGTGACCCTGAAAACTGCAACTTTAGCACTTACTAAGGAAACAAACATCTCTAAACCTGCTGAGCTGATTTCAGTGTGGGGGAAAATGTTCCCATATAATTTTCCTCTATCAGACTTTGTGGGGGTGCCAGATCAGAAACATCTCCCTTAGATTGGTCCTTGTGATGATGCAGAGGTGGGAGATGTGAGGGTTGGGAGAAATGGAGGCACAGGATACATATGGAGACCTGCCTGGTTTTAATGCCTCATGTGCTGCCTTATAGTTGGAAATTACACCCCTTGTAGTATCCCTTTTTATCTGTTGATTGGTTTTACTTTTGGAAAAGGTATCTCTGTTGGTCTGTGCAAGCCTACCGGGCAAAAATCCAAAGAAAAGAAACAAAACAAAAAACAAGGACATGTGACACCTTAAAAACTAACTATTATATTTTAACATGAGCTTTCGGAGACACATCCACTTCGTCAGACATAGGGAAACAGAATGAAATGTTGAAATAACTGAAATATCAGTTACATCAGTAGAACATACTAAATGTTCTCTTGGTTGGGTGGTACATTTACATACAGGAAAACAGACACCAAGGCTAGGCAAAAGTGATATGGGAGAGAGAAGAGAAAGGAGGGGTGTGTGTGTGTGTGTGCCTCTGTGTGTGTGTGTGTGTGTGTGTGTGTGTGTTTGTGTGTGTGTGTGTGTCTGAAGACTGGAGATGCATTTAAAACTCAAGAGGGAGAAATATATATAAAAGAAAATATGAAGGTGAATTTAAAAGTGAAGAAAAATAGGAGAGGAATCACGTGTGTTAACAGTCACAAATCTGACATCAGAAACCACAATACAAATGGTTTCTAACCATTTCAGTCTACCAGGACATTCTGTGGAAGATTTGAAAGTCACTATTTTAGAACTGGATAATTACAAATCAAGAGTGCAGAGGGAAACAGCTGAGATAAAATTTATATGCATGATGGATGCACATAATTAATATATACAAATGGATTGAATAAGCCTAGGTTCCTTAACTCATTACCAAATGTAATACTTCTGTTATCTACTGCCATTCTCATTTTCTTCACAAGTATCAAACCCATCTCTCATCACAATGCTTGAAGGTAAAAACTATCTATTAACACACATAATTCCTCTGCTATCTTCCTTTACTTTTATATTCACCTTCATATTTTATTTTATATATTCTTTTTTGCCTGCCTCTTCAGTTTTAAATGAATCTCCGTCTTCAGCCCCCCACCCCTCCTCTCTCTTCTCTCCCCCTCATATTTTCCCAGGCCCAGTGTCTGTTTTCTGTCTCCTGAAGGAATTTTTACAACAGTATCCTAAACCAACATAAGCCATAAATTACTGCATATAAATATACCACACAACCAAGAGTCAAAGAATATTTACAATGTTCTACTTATGTAACTGATATTTCATTCAACATTTCATTCTGCTTTTCTATGTCTGATGAAGTGGACATATCCACGAAAGCTCACATTAAAATATAATAGTCTTTAAGGTGTCACATATTTTTGTCTTTTCGTGTTTTGCTTTGCTTTGCTTCTTTGGATTTTGCCTGATATATTTGGTTTTACTTGCAATTTTAGTGTTTTCATGTTTTATTATTATTCTGTCAACTGCACAGAATAGTGCTTTGCACCAACAGTGTGCTATATAAATCTAATTAATTAATGCCGATTCAGTGAATCCTCTTACCAGCTGGGGATGATTAGAGATGGGTACCTAGAGTTTAAAGTAACTTCAGACACAAAGATCAGACTAGCTCCTTACTAGATACTTAACCTGGGGTTTGTCCCTCTGCCTGGAGACATGAGGAACCATAGCAATTCCCTGAGATTTCAACCAGCATCCTCAGCCAGGAACCGTCATTGTGTTTGTACTTGAATTAATGGGAAGTGTCAATTTTGCTGTCCTAGGTATTTTTGTAGCTTTTCCAGAGCTTGGATAAATTATCATTGTTGTTTTTTTGGCCTAAACCTCTGAAAATGAAATAGCCAATAATGACAATTCTGTGGAATTCTGGGCATTTTTGGCCAAAATGTAGCCTAACCAAGCTCTCAAAAAGCTTCCACGTGCAGACCACTTTAATGCAATATTTTTTACTTCACTTAAATTGAGCAACAAGTGGTAGTAGTGATGTTATGTCTGCCTTTTTGCTCCTGAAATGAACAAAACATCCAACTGGGACTCAAACTAGGTAATCCATCTGTCATGCTTTTTGCAGACCGGCTTCCCGCAGTGGTAAAAGTGCATTTGGTTCCTCACTGATGCGTCTTCTATCTAGCATGCCTTGTTCTGTTATTGGTCATCGGAAAGCAAACATAGGCTTAATTTGTGAGTCTGATTGTTAGTGTGCTATACCTTTGAGGAAATTCCATAGGGTTTCGAGAAAATATTCGTGGTCCTTAATAGTTAGCTTCTCTCACTGTTCAGACACTCAGAAAGGTGTTAATCTGGTAGCAGATTGGAGTTGGATTATCTTTTTTTACCCTTGACATCCCCCACATTGCATGGTGGGAGTGTCTGACTGTCAAGCTAGAGATTATACAGTAACACCCTTTGCCCTCTCATTCTCCCTCTGGAAGTCTGTGGCCTGAATAACATCTGAAAAATTTGTAGGAATTAAACATGTATGTATTGGATACAGCAGTTTGAAGAAGCCCTACTCAGATGTTCAGAAAAAAAGTTCATCTGCACATGTGCATGACGCTTGTTTAATGCTTTTAAAATATTGTAATTATTTATTATTTGGCTTTTAACTTTGTTTCTGTTACATACTGCAAGTCATAGGAAGACACACTGTGACCAGCCCTACCCTGGTTAATCACCTTTAAACTGCCTTTAATTTCTCTGGGCTTGCTTTAAGCGCAAATCATAAGAGACCAAGCAGTTTTAATATTTAAATATAAAAATAAGATCTTTATTGAACAATAACAGCTGGTTATCTGCACAAACGTTAGGCTGAGGTTACATTAATCATACGTGCCAACTTTCCCACAACAGACCTTACTCTTCCTGATACAAAATACCTCTTTCTACAGACCACTGTAAAAATTCTTCCTCCCTCCTTGGGAAACAAAAAAACTATTTTCTTCTTCATTGTTGGTTCCCCGCCTGCCTTCTCTCATCCCAACGAGCTCATTCCTGATGTTGCCAGGTGGATTTGGAGAGGGTTCTGCCACACACATTTTTCTGTTTTAAAAAAGCAAGAACAAGCAAAACGAAGAAGAGAGCTCTTCTCCTTACTCTTCCATATCTTAGAAGTTGGAAACATTCCAATAGTCTTGGTCACCATTCCTTTTTTGAGAAAATGTAAAGTAATCAATTGATCGAGACATAAATGCCGAAGTAGAGTTCATGGGTAACTAAAAGCAAATACATCCCCCCCCCAAAAAAAATTCTCCTGTCTCTGGTGTACCCTGAACTGTGACTGTGGTTAACCAAGTCTTTCCTTCCTTCCATTCCTTGCAGTATGGCAAAGTGCTTCACTACAGCAACCCTCAGCTCCTCTTCCTGTTCCTGCTGACCTTCACCACAGCCAGCATCATGCAATGCTTCTTGCTTAGCACCATCTTCTCCAAAGCTAACCTGGCAGCTGCTTGCAGTGGAGTCATCTACTTCACCCTCTATTTGCCCCACATTGTCTGCTTTGCCTGGCAAGACCGTCTGACTATCAAGCTAAAGATGATGGCAGTAAGTAGCTTCCCCTCCCCCACCCCACCCCATTCACTCTCTCCCTGGAAGGCTGTGGCCTTCTGGGTTAATTTATAACTTATTTTTTAAAAAAACTGTCCCATGTTCACAGTATTTTCAGGACTTTTTTTAAAGAGGGTTGCAGGCAACGGCTCAAGCCCTGTTTTCCCCATTCATTCTAATCTTCCTAGAAACACTGGGGTCGAAGAATCCTGTAATGATCATTTAGTGCAGGGGTGGTCAGCACTGACAACTCTGAAGGATAAGGTTCTGTCCTGGAATGCTCAGAAGAATGCAAAAAAAAAGAAGGGGGGGAGGTAATTGACAAAACCACCAGTGGCTGGAATTTGTATTTAAAAAAAAAACATACCCAGTGTGGTGTAGTAGTGGATAGAGTGATGGACTGGGACTCAGACACCCTGTGTTGACATACCTGCCCAGCATGGAAACTCACTGTGGAGTTGGAACTGGCAAAACTACTCTGTAACTATCTCAGTTACCTTGAAAACCCTTTTGCTGTTGTTACAGTATGTGCCATCAAATCGGAACTGGCTTGTAGCAACCCTAGTAGGGCTTTCAAAGTAAGTGAGATATTTACCAAGTGGTTTTACCAATTCTGCTCCCCCAGTGAGTGTCTATGGCTGAGCTAGGATTCAAACCCAGGTCTCCCGAGTCCTAGTCCATCATTCTATCCACTACACCAGTGGTTCTTAACCTTTGTTACTTGGATGTTTTTGAACTGCATCTCCCAGAAACCCCAGCCAGCACAGTTGGTGGTGAAGGCTTCTGGGAGTTGCAGTCCAAAACTCCTGAGTAACCCAAGGTTTAAGAACCAGTGCACTACACCACACTAGGTACAGTATTAGGGTTGCTATAGGTCCGACTTGAGGGAACGTAACAGCAACATTATGGGAGTCCTGCATCCTTTTTAAAAGTTAAGTTGCTGTTCCTATTGATTTCCAAAAGGATAGTTTGACTTATTTTGCTGGGGAAAATCAGAGGCCTCCAATGTAACCCCCACCGGAGCTGCATTTTGCCTGCTCCTAAACTAGTGACTGGTCTATCTGACCAAGGAAGAGTGACCACTGGTGTAACATTCCTGAAGGAGAGGGGTATTCTGCATAATTCTTCCTAGGCATCAACTAATAATCAAAGTTAGGCAGTAATTCCAGCTTAAAAGTAATGACAATTCTGTACCCAGCCCAAATATGTTATTTTGTACAAAGAATAGCCTCAAGACTTGGTGGAGGGAGATACCATGTCTGCAAAAATAACATTTTCACATCTTCGTTTTCTTTTAACATCTTACTGTGTGCATAATTGTGCCAAAATTGCTTTTATTTAAAGCACATGATAGATAAGCCTGCATCCTAAACCTGATAGATGAAGAACTGTAATCTCAGGGGGAAAACACATATCAAAGATAGGTTGTGATTAGAAAATCCTCGCCTAATGAAAGTGTCTAATGAAAGTGTCTGTCACAGTATTATGCAAATAATTAGCTTGCATTGTTATTGGTTGCCAAGACTTAGGCACAGGATCCCTTTGACATCTCATTTTGGAAACCCAGAAGACTTCCCAAGGGTGGAACTCTGACTTTGGAAGAAAGTCACTGTGGGAACTCTAGGCTGGTTAGACTCAGGTGGGAGGAGAGGGTGTGTGATGCTGGATCACTCTTTCTGAGGTCAGATCATCATTTTCACGCATGGAATTGATTTCCAGTTCCCTCTCATGTCTGTTGGAACTCATTCCGCTCAGAACTATAGGATTGCAGCCTGATATGCAAAATCCTGTGAATGTTTACTTGGAAGCATGTCTTGCTGTATTTAGCGAGACTTAATGTCTAGTAAGCTTAATCTGTCACATTTACAATAAAGGAAAGTATGACTTTATCACTAGAACTAAAACAAAGTTGTTCTGAGAGCCTTATTTTCAGAGAAGGGGAGTAATAATATGAAGAAATATGAGTGGAAAGGATGTATTGCTTTCCATTTGCCTTTCTTTGTTTCCTTAGCATTCAGAAAATACTTCGAAAATAAAAATATGCCTATGGAAAGTGTCAGGGAACTTCAGCGAGTCCAAAATGCAGCAACCAGATTGCTGACATGGGAGAGAGCCCAGCAGCCCCACTGGCTGCTGATCCATTCCTAGGCAGAATTCAAAGAGGTGGTTCTAACCTATAAAGCCCTAAATGGCTGGAGTCCAAGCTGTCTCAAGGACTGCATCACTCTTTATGAGCTGATTCGGGTGTTATGATCCTCTGGAGAGGCCTTTCTCACATCCCACCACCTTCACAGGTACATTTGGTGGGAACACAGGAGAGGGCCTTTTCTGTTGCTGCTTCCAGACTCTGAAACTCCCTCACACAGGAGGCCGGAGTGGCACCATCTTACTGTCCTTCCGCAAACAGGCAAATACCTTTCTCTTCAAGCAAGCTTTCCCTGAGTCAATGGCTGCTGAGTGGAGTTTTAAAATTGTTGTACCTTATATTGCATTGAATGTGTTTTGATGTTGCTTGTGTTTTTTGGTACTGTATTCATTGATATTTTTAGTATCACATACTCATTATTAGCTTAAATACTATGTTTTAATTGTTGTAAGCTGCCTTAGGTTCTTTTTAAGGAGAAAGGCGGGTTAAAATATAGTTTCAATAAAATAAAATATTTGGGAACAGAGTTAGTTAATGATGAAACTATGCTAATCTTCCTTGAACCAGTGGTTATTTTTATTTCTTCTTGATGTTTGCTTGTTGAAAAATCCAAGTTTAGGGCTTTCTCGTGACTTTACAAAAGCAGTATTTTAACGCAGAGATTTAGTTCTGTGGATGTTTTGTCTAAAAGAAAGCAGAAATAAATTCTAGTGAGACGAAAGTGTACGTGTATACAAATTCTAAGATTAACTGTAAATACAGTATTGTAATCCCAAACTGGAAAACCAGCAGAGAAAAGGAAATACAGAGTGTCAGAAAACTTGGAAAGAGTAACCAAGGAAGAACCTTCTATCCCAAGTTAAAGTGGATTCCTCCTCCTCTTAAATCATATGTTTGCCATATGTCAAATATAAAGATTTACTTCCATTAGGATAATCTGGCATTCCTCCTAATGAATTGTTGTTCTTTTCCTTCTTCTTCAGAGCCTACTTTCACCCGTTGCTTTTGGGTTTGGTACAGAATACTTATCCCGCTATGAAGAGCAAGGACTTGGGTTACAGTGGAATAACATCTGGGCCAGCCCCCTGGAAGGAGATCAGTACAGTTTCTTGTTGTCCATGGAGATGATGCTTTTTGATGCCTTCATCTATGGATTACTTGCTTGGTATTTGGATAATGTCTTCCCAGGTATGTCCATTTCTATACTGTGCACATTTCCAGATGGAAATCTCCCCCCACCACCACCACTGATTTAATAGAAAGGGGACAGAAATGGAATTACAATATCTTAGCTCCTATTCAGCATCGAAGTCACCACATTTATAATCACAGCTTAACTTGATAAGCATTGAATAAGACTCAAAAATTTCAGAGCATTTGCACAATTAATTGGGATTAAATCCCATAAGAACTGATTTATATATAATATATATAACAGCACAGTTCAGCTTAATTACAAGTAAGAGCATGTTCAGATGACTGCAAAGACACACGCCTGATCATACCAGAAAGGGTTGCTTTGAAGTGATTGCTCCAGCAGAAATGGAATTACAATATCTTAGCTCCTATTCAGCATCGAAGTCACCACATTTATAATCACAGCTTAACTTGATAAGCATTGAATAAGACTCAAAAATTTCAGAGCATTTGCACAATTAATTGGGATTAAATCCCATAAGAACTGATTTATATATACTGTAATATATATAACAGCACAATTCAGCTTAATTACAAGTAAGAGCATGTTCAGATGTCAGCAAAGACACATGCCTGATCATACCAGAAAGGGTTGCTTTAAAGTGATTGCTCCAGCAGTGCCTGACAGAGTAGTAGCCCTACACCTGGACCTAAAAGGTTTGTTTTGGGGAGCGCATTTCCCCATAGATTGTGTGATCATGGAGGAAAAATCACACTGGACCACTTTGCAAGTGGTGCCGATTGCAGTCTATTTCCCCATTCAATCACATATAGTGTCATAAACCTCAGTTCTGTATTAACGAAGTGAGCACAAGATTGTAGTGTAATTGTTTCCACTGTAGTCTCATAAACCTCGGTTCTGTATTAACTAAGTGAGCACAAGATTGTAGTGTAATTGTTCTCAAACAGGATGGCAATTTAGTTATTCTTAATATCTTTTCTGAGTTTTGAAAATGTGATATTTTCTCTACAGTTAATGTAAAGGATTATTTTTCTTGTGGAAGGAGAAAAAGTAAATACGAAGAACCAAAGTGAAATGCTATTAACATTTTAGACAAAGATTTTGAATGGTTTTAAACTTCATTTTATCACAGTAAAAAAACAGCTTATAAAACTATATGTGTCCATAGAACACTTTAGTCTGTCTCCCTAAAGTTTTGGTTCTTTGTCTTGACCAGCACTTGCTATGAGCCACTTGGCAGCTATGCCTCTGGCCAAGGTCTCAGACTACCATCTGAAAATTACCAAATTAGGAAAATATTTTTATTTGCCAGCTAGAAGAGGAGGGACTTCTTGAAAAAGGAAACCTTTGGGCAGTCTTGGACTTCTTGCTTAAACAAATATAAAATCTTTTAGGCAAATGCAGATGTTGTGGTGCAGAAACTCAGTACATTTCATGTGGGCCACAAGAGAACCATTCGACCTGTCCTACTATTAGATAAAATAAGGCAGCTGCCTCAGGCAGAAGATTTCAGCTCTCAGTATAAACAGACAACAAACTGTTAGTCATCTGCTTTGTTACTAACAACTTATTATTGTATCTTTGCCTAAGAAGAACTGAGGTTTGGGGAGTTTCAGGTTCAGATAACAAACAGTGGCCCTCAAATGTTAATAGATGCAACCTTCTTCATCCTTCACCCTCGACTGCGCTGGCAAAGATTACTGAAAGTTATAGGTTAAAATTATTTGGAAGCGGCACAGTTGCCCACCTTGCTTTTTCTGGAACAATATATCTGGTACAGTAAATCTGCCAGTCGCTATTTTTGCCTCAGGCAGCAAAATGCCACGATATGGCCACATAGAAATAAAGAACCATATAGATATCTTGTATTTGAACATATAAACCTTTTACTTTATACATTTACTACACACATTTGCCACTGAAATAGACATCTAGATGATCAGATGGGATTTGAAGCAAGATCCAATGGCTGCCCATCCCCAGAAGACTGCTGTAGTACCATGTAGGGCAGGGGTGGGTATGTTTGGGGGGCCCAGGAGTGGCAGTTTCCCACTGATCATAAAAAAGAGGGTGGGGTCAAAGGAAGGAAGGAACTGGAAATGAACAGAAGTCCACCTCTGAGTTGGAAGGGATTTTTTTAATTGCAAAAAAATACCCTTCACTCTGCTTAAAAGGTAAGTCACAGTTTCTTGAGTCTTTCAGGAGAAGCTCTTTACCAACCTTTTTTTCCATGAGAGAATGGAAAGTTGGTAACTGAGGAATGCCAGCAAAAAATAGCTTTGAGGACTGTGCGTGTCCCATGATCCCCACCCCCCAATCCAGTGAACGGGAACCTTTGGAGCATTGGCACAACAATATCAATGATAAAATGGATGGAGCCTGGGCTGACTCTCCATGCAAGAATGATATAGTCTCTTCTCTGCAGGTACTGGAAGCACATCACAAGGTGGTATGTTTTTCTTTGGATATGGTACAGAACAGCCCAACGACTACCCGCAAGGGCTATGTTTTAATAGTCACTATGTCGCCATGAAGAAGTGAAACTTGGATTTCTCAGCAATTCAAGAAACCTGTCTGGCTGCATATTATTAAAGTTGGAAAGACAAAACAATGCAGCACAAGGGATCTTATCTGCAGAATGAAAGCTCAAATCTCACCACTGAATTTTCAGCTTAGAAAGTGTTTTCAAAATGGATGCTACTTAGGACAGAGCTATTTGTGAGTCATGAATAGGAAACTTGGTGTGAAAGGAATCAGAATCTATTCCATCACAAGAAACGTTCATAATTTGGCTTTTGCAGAATGGCCATTAAAGGAAATACTGTATACTCAGCAGAAACTCTGCCTCCTCTGTGTTTGATTGATAAGAGCTTTAGAGTCTTACTATGAAGACTAGAGATAGGCATGAAGTGCAACAAAGCGCTTTGCATGAAGCTGTCAGTGTGGCAGCATAGGTGCTGCGCAGGCCCATCTCCCACCCCCCAGCCATCTGGCCCACTCTCTGGTCTTTGTGTGCTGACGGGGACTTCCTTCTCCAGCGACTCAAGCGGCCCGGCCCCCACCTCCTCAGTCAACCGACCACTCAATTTGAATCCCGGATTTACCACTGGGAATCAAGAGCAGAGTGAGCAACTTGTCAACCTCCAGTTTGTTGTTGTTTGCTCCTGCCCGGACTGGCATGCTGCTGGAGAAGGAGGTCCCTAGTGGCACATGAAGAATGGGGTGGGAGATGGGCCCACGTGGCACCTGTGGTGCCATGCTGACAGCATCGTATGAAGCATTTTGTCGCACTTCATAACCATCTTTAATTCTGACCAGAAAGAAGAGTTAAATTTTAAAAACTGAGGGATTGAAATCTAAGTCAGAGAATAATTTCTGTCTCAATTCCCTGAACATTGGCCCCTCCAGCGATCCCTTTGTCTTCCAAATGTCCTCTTCCATTCCCCTTAGAGACTTACTTGCTAATACTGGGAACAGCACAAGTCGAAGTGGAGTGGCAAAGATCTGTCTCTCATCCCTATTGTTGTGCTTTGCTGCATGGCTGTGCAACATGCCAGGTTGAAAGGCCTCATAGCCCTTGGGAGGTGCAGTTTTCCTAAAGGCTACTGACAAGACAGAAAGAAAGAAGGGAGTCTGCACTTACTAACCAACCAGGAGAGCCTCACCTCCAGTCACCCATTAACTATGGGATTTTGGATACAATTTGAATCCAGGATTTACTAATTGAAATCAAGATCAGAGTGAGCAACTTGTCAACCTTCAGGTTGCTGCTCGTATGCAACAACTACTCTATCAGCTTACCCAGTGGTGAGGGATGATGGGAATCTTAGTCCAACAACATCTGGAGGGCCACAAGTTGCTAATCCCTGACTAGATTCGAAACAATTTATGTTGCAATAAGATGCAGAGTAGTGGGTATTATTAAAGATGATGTGCACTTTTCAGATATTTTAGACTACAACTCTCATCACCCTGTTGCCCACATTGGGTAGGGATGATGGAGTTGTAGTCTAAACATTTCAAGTAGGTGCCAAGTTAAGGAAATGTGGAGCAATGGCTAAAGGGTGAACTGGGAAATTCTCATTTCAGAGCTTGCCTTTGGCAAACACTCCCCCCCTTTGTGTGTGTGTGTGTGGGGGGGCATTGGCTGCCTACTTATTAAGGATTCAGCTCATCTCCTGGCTGAGAATAGCTTTAATTCCTTAATTAAACTTGAGTTTCAGTTTTAAAAAACAAAAAGTCATCTGGAACCCATGGAATGTGTTTGTTCTTTTCTCTCTCCTCTGATAGGGGAAAAAGGGAAAGAATCTAAAGCATAATCTTGAGAACCGAGGCTGGTCTATGAGCACTGTGGTGGGTGGGTGTGCTTTGTTCAAACTTTTAATGCTCACCCAATGTTTGTTGCTCATGAAATGCTGGGCAATTATTGTAAGTATAACATTTGCATAGATGTGTTCTTTTCCCCATGGCAAAGTACAAAGAAGCTTATGCACCCTACCAACTTGTTTTTGTTTCAGGAGACTATGGAATACCACGGCCTTGGTATTTCCCTTTCCAGCAGTCTTACTGGCTTGGGTCGGGAGGCCCAAAGGCTGAGAAAACAACAACTGCAGAGGGTGAGTTATGTGGAAAAACTGGTGTTCAGAAATAACTTTAGAACCATTGATCCGTTTAGAGGTGAGTGCACTCTTGCATTCATTAGGAGAGCCATTGAAAAGATTAGATGCAGACATACAGTGGGAATCTTAGCAGGTGGCTTTGAACTGTGAGTGGCCCAGTTATTAGAGTGTTGCTGGAAAGTGAGTCAGGGTTCTGTCTGAAATCTTTCTAAAGTACTCTGAAATTAACTGGCAGGCTGAGAATCCTGTTTCTCCGACTGATATGTCTGGAGATAATCAACAATGGCTCTTATGACAGTGGCACAGCACAGTGCTGAATGAATGAAGGACGTGACTCCCATCTTAACTGGGCCAGGATCAAATTCATCCCTGACACCAGGAGTTTCACTGTCTTTGAAACCATTCTGTCATACTGCACCCACACCAAGTGCTGTTAACATGACCCAAAACAGGAGTCACATTGGCCCACCATACACAGATGCCCCTAGAATTTGCAGGTGGTGCATTTGCACTATAAGTGATGAGCTGTCCCTCTTTTAACCTTATTATCTCAATGGAGACATAAAAGATGGTCCACATTCTCTTTCTTCCTGTGTTGTTTGGTCAATGGCAACCTCAAGCTGCAACAGAGCTCTTGTTTGGTCTACATATTAACCAGTCTTGAAAAGCCAAGACTATGGGCCACAAAAAATCCCAGGAAATATAATGTCCCCTTTCCCACTGTTCAGTGGTGCAAACTCAATGTGTAATGGAAAAGCATTGGGCATATGGGCCCCTGTCAACTGACAGCGAAAGAATGGAACACAGACAGACAGGTGTCCCTAGCTTCATTTAGATAACTTTGCATTGTTTCCTGAATTGGTAAGACCAGTTTTGCTTAGTTGAATAGTCCACCAACCCAAAACCATCTTGCATCATGCTTGCCAATTTTTACACATTTCATAAGTTACCTTAGGAACCCTTTGTCCTGTGCCAACAGAAATACGACCATATAAACAAGCCTATGATTCTATTGTGCTCAATTAAGCTGGTATAACTCCACTGGTGTCAATTGAAATGCTCTGCATTTTCTACATGGAACACATGGAAACTATTTATAAATGATTATCTGAAGTTGCAGTCAGACAGGGAAGCTGGATCATGTTGGATTGCGCTGGAATTGGTTGCCTTGCTGGCTGTGATCTCCTTTAAAGGAACCCTTCCATGCACATATAATCTGGTCCTGATCACTTCGACTCATCTCCAGAAAGGTCCAGATTGGGCACAGCTGGGCTGGGCTGGGCTGGTTCACAATTCCTTATACATCTTGTACTGTAGTTACCAGGAAATAGCTTGAATCGAGCCATACCATAAGTGGTCCAAAATGCAAGCTATATTGCCCTCTGATTGCATTGTGTGTCTATCTCGCTGTTGGGAAACTGTATAATGAAACAGTATGGAACAAACAGTATGCAATTTTCCAAGGTGGAATTGGTTTCCATGCTGGACAATATAGTATCAGGATTTCCTTGGACCCTTGGCTACATGCATTCTAAAACCTATACATATCATGAGATATGGATAAGAATCTGTGAAGCCCTGCTGTGATTGGATTCATTAGGAATTTGAAGCAGCTCCTCTCTTTTGGCGGGAAATGACTGAGCCTCTTTTGAAATATTAACAGATTTATTTGGTTTAACATTTGGTGATTCCACAACAACTTCTATGGGTTCAAAACAACTGAGATCTGGCAACTGTCCATGGCGTGAAGACGAGAACTCCATCTGTAAATTGCCAAGGTTCATTGAGGGGCTGGTCCAAAACATTCCGGTCCGTGGGTTTCCTCATTGGAGCACTCCGAAGCGCGCAAATTGTCCCGCAACAAGGGTGTCTGGCCCAATCTCCCTCCGGTGGTGGTTGGCTGAAGGATTGGTTTGGTCGGACCACCTTCCTCAAGTGACCTGGTCCCTGCGGAAAGACCACAACTGTCCATTCTAGCGCCTCTTTTGATGTTTCCTTTTCCTTTGACAAGTCAGGGTCAGGCAGTAATCCTCCTCCTACCTTCAAATTAGGGAAATCTTCTAATAACCTGCACACTTTTTCATATATCTGTTTGCCTTTTTTTTCTCTCTCTCTCTCTACTTTTCTCCTCTTTCCTTCTCTCTTCCCTGGATATACTACAAACTCTCCTCCCCCTTTCAGCTTTTATATCCTCCTCCCATATTGGTATAATTAACTCATCCTCCTTTTCTCCTTCTCCTTCCTCCACCAGATTTCAACTTTCTCTTCTCTTTCTTCTACAAAACTCTTCCCATTCTATTATTTCCCTCTCTCCTGTCTCTGACGTCTCATATTCGTGAGGATGGCTCACTCTGTTCCTTCTCTCTTTTTCCTATCTCTCCTTCACACCTTCAGATATTGTTGGTCTCCAGCTCCCATTATTTTTCTCCAGCAAGGTTCTTCCTCCACCAGATTTCAACTTTCTCTTCTCTTTCTTCTACAAAACTCTTCCCATTCTATTATTTCCCTCTCTCCTGTCTCTGACGTCTCATATTCGTGAGGATGGCTCACTCTGTTCCTTCTCTCTTTTTCCTATCTCTCCTTCACACCTTCAGATATTGTTGGTCTCCAGCTCCCATTATTTTTCTCCAGCAAGGTCTAGGAACCTTCAGGTTGGCCAAGAACATCTGAAAATTCAAAGATGACCCAAAACATCCTCCGCTTCTGATGCTCATAGCGGCAAGGAATATATATCATGTCCTTTGATGCACCCCAGGTTTCAAATTAGATATTAAGGGGAATGTGTATTCCCTGCAGTTAACCCTTTTCCCTCCCCACAATAGAATTTCCTCAGAGATACACTATTTAGCAATAATACTTGCAACTTAAGGCTGTGTTTACCTTCTAATGACCTATCAGAAAACAAAGCATGCTAAATGCTAGATGTGCAGGTGATAAAATTGTGTGCTATGATAAGGAGACATGTTTCATTTTTGCAGAAACATGATAAAGATATAATCCAGTTTGGCCCTGTGAGTATTATCCAAGTATACACTTGGTCATACAGTCCATTCTTCGTGCAAAATGAAGCCTTTCAAAATGGTCCTGTGGAAGGTGCTGTGTGCACAGTATGACCTTGCCTGGTGTAAATGCATGTTAGTATATTAAGCATAATATAATAATTACTTGCTGTCAAGTCGATTCTGACTTACGGTGACCCTTTTCAGGATTTTTAAAAGGAATTTTAGAGAGTACTCAAAAGTGGTTTACTTTTGCCTTTTTCTGGGGGCACCCTGGACTGTGCAGCTTGCCCAAGGCCACACAGGCTGGCTCTACTCACAGGAAGTACACTGGGGAATTGAACTCTCAGTCTCTGGCTGTGCACCCAGATACCTAAATCACTGCATTATCCAGTCATCTGTTAAACATAAAGACTAGATTTAAGGAAGACAAATATCAAAAAATGGCCAAACATTTTGGTAGTTCTTGTGCATTGACTCCAGTCAGCAAGCTGCATTGCAATATCAAAAAATGCCCAAACATTTTGGTAGTTCTTGTGCATTGAACAGGTACACGAGCAACTTCCTGCTTGAGGGATTGCTCATCCAGAATGCACAAAACCATAGTAAAAATAGTCAATAAAAAGAGGGATTGCTCATCCAGAATGTACAAAACCATAGTAAAAATAGTCAATAAAAACCACAGAGAGGGAAAGAGAAAAGCTGGCCTTTGAGTGTCTGTTCTGCTCCTTGGCTCCATAATAGCTCATCAGCCTGGACAAGCTGCTTGGATCTGATTCTCAGCAGATGAAGGTACTTCTGAGCTAGCAGGGGACTAATCCTTTCTGCAAACACTAGGAAACCTCTTCCATCAGCCCCATCCCAGTTTTTACACATGTGAGGGAAAAGAGGCAGCAACCTTGTCTCTTTTGAAAGGGATTTACATTTTTATACATTCTCAGCCAAAAATATAGCTTTCCCACTAGATTTACTGTGAGAGGAATTTAGAAGAACATAAAATGTGTCTTGTTGTTATTGCTTGACATCCACAGGGTCTTTTCCAGCTCTGCAATAAGATGATGATGATGATCTCTCCTATTTTCTAGTTTCTAAGATACTGTGTCTGTCAAAGAGGCATTGCATGGCTTTCAACAAGAGAGGATGATATATGGAAAGTTTGCAAGTCAGTAATTATTCAAGGGGCATAGAACAGTGTCTTTCTATCTACTATTGGATTGGTTAATTGTTTAAAATTGCCTTGCAGTCTTTCAGAGCCTTCAAGGATCTTCATGTTCACAAAACAGCTGAAAAACTCAGGACAAGCCCGTATAGTCCTCAAAACAATACAAATGCAGGAACAGGTGGCAACTTTATTGGACCATTAAGTAACTAGAACAAAAAATAAAGTGAGCTTTCAATAATAATTCATCCTCTTCTGGCTGTACATCAAGTTCTTGTGGGTAGCTCCAAAATTACATGTTTATTTTAAGTTTCATGGCTGCTGTTGGGGGCCAAGTGTAGCTTCTTAGATGAAAAAAGCGTGAGGAAAACTGGGCAGACCTCCTTTTGTTTAACTACAAATGCTGATACAATATAGTCATGCCCAGTCAGGGCTGTTTGGAGCCCCCGATGCCCATAAACCACTGCTGAATCTCAGGATTCCAGGAACACTACTCAGATAAGAAACAAGGTGTGCACAGCCTCTGGACCTTGCAGTAAAGGCACATTGCAGCTCCCTCTCATTCTTCAAATTCAGCTGGGATGTGGTGGTGGGAACTGCAGGGATTATTGTCTCTGATGAGTTCAGGAGGGCAATGAGCCCACTTGCACTGAAACTGTCCATCTTGAGCTTATCATACTGCCATTGTTTTACTGGCTCACCTGTTTCTTCCACACATGAACTGACTACAAGTGAAAAACGCATTGAACATCATTTTGTGTGGCCCTTCCTCCCACCACTGACAAGTAGGGATATGGTAGCGAAGGGCTAGCTACTATTCTTTAATATATTTTTAATAGTCATTAAGAATCACAAGATTAATGTAGTTGCCTCTCTGGAAGGTATTATCCATCTGTTAGGAACCAGGAAAGAGACCCTGTGGAGTCCAGGAACTTCATCCCGACATTCAAGCAAAAATGTCCTAAGAAGGAGCAGGGGTCACGGTGCTTATTGACAGCAGGCAAGCATCTAGATTCTCCCCCCCCCCTTCATTTCTGGTTGGGCTGAGCTATGAAGGAAGGCGAGAGAGAGAGAGAGAGAGAAGAAGGCAACTCCGTAATGTAGAGTATTTCACTTTGGCTGCGAAGGTTCTTTGTGACTTGGGCCAAGGCCGTGTTGCCATTTGTAGACAGAAGCTTACAAAGCAAGGCCTTATGGATGCCAAACATAGCCATAATCACAAAGGCTGTAAGAAACCATGGCTGAAATTCAGTGATAAGTTGCAACTAGAGTAGGCCTATAGGATCAGTCAGGATTTGATGAGACAATTCCTCCCTAAGTTTCATTGATTCAAGTAGGCCTACTCTAGTCAAAATGTACTACTGGCCTTCAGCCCAGGTATACAACACACACAGCCAAACAGGAAACAAGTTTGTGGAAAGAATATCACACAGTTCAGCATTGTCATCCAGACCTTCCTTTATGTTTTGGGAACAAAAGTTCTTGTCATTTCTATTTAAAATCTTAGTCTTCTAGTTAAGAATATATTTCAAAGTATGTCAAAAACTTTGTTAGTCAGGCAAACGAATATTCCATTGTGCACTTTAGATTGATATCTTTATGGATTTTAAAGAGACTTGGGCATATGCAGTTGAACACTTTTCTGGAAATCTTACCCCCACCTTTAAGCCTCTTTTTTATTTATTTATTTATTTTTTTTGAGATGTCACACTTCAAATTCTATCCAAGTGTTAACCCATTCATTTACTTTCCAAAAGAAAACTTAAAATATTTTATATTCTTTTTTTTAAAAAGAGTTTTTTACAGCAGCATTATAAAGGGCAAGGTATAGACAGGCAGTGATCCTAGTAACTTCTGATTAGAGGGGAAATATAGCCATATCCCACCTAGACAGGAAACAGGTACATATTTACTTTCAAGGATCTTAAATTTCGTTATTTTTCCCTTCATATGCATGGCCTTTTGTCTTCAACCGTGGAAGATCAGAGCTGTAGGTAAAATCTACAACAGAACACAACTGCAGAGTTAAGATGCCATTGAATCAGTGTTTTTCACAATTAAAATAATGGTCCTATATGCTGGCTGGACAGCTCAGTGAGTAAGGTTTTTGACTGTGGAGCCAGAGGTCAGTGTCCACTGTGCATCCCAGAAGCCAACCGGTGTGGCCTTTGGCAAGCTACATGGTCCTAGGTTGCCCCCAAAAGAAAGGAATGATAAACTGCTCTAAGTACACTGTAACTAGAAAACCCTGGAAAGGATTATCACTAGTCAGAACGGACTTGATGGCACACAATTGTATTTAATGTTGGCTGGTTAGGTTACCACTTCATAAGCAAGGAGGAAACTCATTACCAATAGACAGGATGAAAGAGCACAGATGTGCATAAAAACTTTACAGTATGTGCTAATTTAAATGTATACATACAAATTTAGAAGTAGTTACTATTATTTAAACAGAGTGGGTGACTTGCGTGATTGCTCCACTATATGCTGACAGGCAACATTTAGGCTCCTACTCACTCTTGTTATAGCTGTTCAAGTTTAAACCTGATTTTGACTGGACAGTCCTAAAAATATGCAACTGTTTTCTGACCGCCTTTCAAAGAGAAGATTGTCCTCTAAAAAGTAGGAGACATGATTATATGCTATGTTTAATGTTTCAGCATATTGCAGAGTGTGTTGTAGCCTACATACATTCATGTTTCTAAAGCAAAATGATTTTGCAACAACAATCTTGACATCTTGATATTTTGGGTTACACTAGATCCCCTATCTAGAAGCAGTGTACTCATAAGAGGGGAAAAAACTGTTTCTATCTTCTAACACAAGCTTCCATCAATTCTTATTTTATTTCTCAGAACTATAACAAGGTTTAGTTTATTACTCAGAACCATAGCCTAGATGTTTTCCATCAATAGAGTGGACTGAGCAATCACACAAGTCACTCGTTCTGTTTAAATAAAAGGAAATATTTCTAAATTTGTATTTGGTAATTAACTTGTAATTTATTGGGAGACAGAACAGCCTTGTTTGCACATCTGATGTCTCAGACACACAGCATTGAAAGATTTATGTGCCTGGAAGGCTAATGTGATATAATAAGAGGAAATACACATTTACCTTCATGTACAATCATGACTGTTTGCTGTGCTTTGCTATGATTACTTTTTAAATAGCCTGTTTTTTTTTTTATTAACCTAGAGAAAGTTTCAGAAAAAGGAGGCAGTGTGGACAAAAAGGTTGAAGAAGAAGAAGAGATGAGCCAAAGCATGACTCCTGAGCTTGAAAAAGGAGGGGACAATACTGACAGCCAGAGGAAGGAGGACGGTAAAGAAAACAAATGTAAACACAAAAGAAAAAAAGAGTGCGACGAGCAGGGGAAACCTGAGACAGAGGCAAAAGACAAAGATGAAATTCCTAGTAAGAGTGAGAAGCGGAGTAATCGTGACTCATTTTGTGTTATACATTTGAACTTTAATGTGCTTATTCATTGCAAGTCTACTTGCCTATATATGTATGATATTGATACAGGTGGGTATAGCAAGGTAGAATTAATCATCGAAGAGGCAATGCCAAGGCAACAAATGGCCCTTGTGCTGGTATTATTTTCTAGGGATTTCTGTCAGTTGCCCATTTAGTCTTCATGCCTATGCGTGAGACTACATTTTAAGAAACACACAATGTTCTTAGTGGGTACTCCGTGATGTGCCTGAGAGTTAATTTGGGCAGTTGGCAGATCTGAGGAATAATGTTTTTCCTGGCATGTATCACCTCAAACTACACGTACACAGGAGCGTCTCGTACTTCAATGACAATCTACCCATGTTTGTAGTTAGTTCTGTATACTTAGTTGTTGTTTTTTTAAGGATAAAAGTTAAGCATACCATTTGCCAGAGCTCATAAATGTTCTTTTAGATACAGTGCCAAGGTCTCCAAAAGTAGTCACTGGTACAGTTACATTCTTTGTCTAGAATCCTGTTAATGTTTTATCATGGTCAGAATTGAAATAGAGGAAGCCACTGACCTAATTGATGAGGCGTTGTTCACATGTTGGTTGTGTGCCTGGCTACCTGTAGTAAAAAGCAGCAGGATTCTGACCTTTAACAGTGATGTTTAGTTTCCATTTTCTCAAAAAGTAGTAAAATACTTGCTTTTACTTTTAATTGTTAAAATCACAGTGCAACAAGATCCTTGCCTGTGATATAAAACACATTCCCTCTGTATACTTGTTCTTCTTCTTCATAGTCTCTGTGATTCACACACAGGGGATCTACTGCATCTGCACAAAATACTCTCAGAAACATTCCAGAAGTTTCCCTTTGCCAATATATTCTTCTACCCAGTGGCCACTACTCCTTGCTTCCCTTCTAACCACCACTAGAGCAGCTTCTTGGGAATCTCTGGAGCTTTATTTGTTGAGTATAAATGACTGTATATAGTTTTCTTTTCCATCTTAATTACTTACCTCCTCTTCATAGTTGATCGTTTTTTTTTCCAGGCATCTAAAAATAAAACACGATTATTTATTGTTCTAAATGTCTGGGTTTATGGCCCCTAAGGGCCCATTCAAACAGGGCTTATCTTTTGGTGATGAGGTACCACTTACTGATGGTCATGTTAGGTGCTTATACTGCCTGGGTAAAGGTCATCAAACCCAGAACCAAAATTTCACAAAGGTGGCATTAAAAACAGACAGTCTCATCACAAAACCTTTTCTGTAGGAACATTTGTTGAAGGGCCATAGATTCAATTTTGAAGGAGCACACTTAAAGTTTGTAAAACCCCACTGGGGAAAAAAATGTAACAGTGGAAGCTGCTCACGCAGAGCAGCAAGAATCCATGAAATCTAGGGATATGATCACACAAGACAGATGTTCGCTAGTTATACCTCTGTTAGATTGTTGTGGAAATGTCCAGTCACACGATGTACGTCCCTTATTGAATCATTCACCTGGCCAGTGGTCTGACTGCAGTTTATTTTCCCCTCGTCAAGGGGCTTCTGCAATTTTACTCCAATAGTGTTTCAATATATTCCTTAGCAGTATGGCATGTGTGTACAACCCTATTGATTCTTTTCCAAAGCCAAGTCACCAGAGAAGGCAGTTGCTATTACAGCCACACCATTGTAATAGCAACTGCTTTTTTTAATTATTCTTTCACGGCTGGTATGTTGATACCTAGGTAAACTTATGTCAACTGCCAGGTATGCCAGGGCATTGGTAGGTGTTGCCTCACTTCACCTACTGTCTGGCAAGTGACACAGTCCTGGATGGGGGTGCTGGGGCCGTTGAGTGCAAGACAGTTCTTCCAGAGGCGCTGGTGCAACAGAGGAAATGTTACCAAACAGGAACCCTTACCTGACATAGTGACGTATTGTTATTAAAAGAATAAATAAATAAAGTAAGGTGCTGCAGTGCCCCAGAAAACAAGAGAGAAAATAAATCAGTGCCATGGTGTAGCCAGACATAGCAATTCAAAGAGGAAAAAGTGCATCAGTAATGTTAAAACACATTGGAATGTTCATCCAGGTATATATACCAAGCAACTGTGATCCATTACAACAAAGGTATGGAAAGGGGAACATTTCTAAGAGACCAGAATCAGCTCAGACCAAAAGAAACTCTAACCTTTCCGAGTAGGTACCAAGCAAAGACATACAGTACCTAAGTTGCAACAGGTTACATTGAAATCGCTGAAACCATCAATATCAAAAAAGAGAAAGAAATTCTCAGAATGGGATCGCTCCAAGTCTAAGATTTTTTTTCAAAAGGATAAAAAACCATTACCATCAGTAGGAGTTCATCCTTCAACACCAGTGACTACCTCTGAATCCAGAGATATTGTGATGATAGTTTGTCTGGGCTCACTGCCCATGTGGTCCCTTAGGCCAGTGGTCCTCAACCTTGGGCCTCCAGATGTTCTTGGACTTCAACTCCCAGAAATCCTGGCCAGCAGAGGTGGTGGTGAAGGCTTCTAGCAGTTGTATTATTATTTTGCCCTGCCACCTTATTATGCAGGTGCTGACTGGTGTGTTACAGTGCTGCACTTCAATGAGAAATGAGCTCAAGAAATGTACCAAAGCCAGTATGAACATATGTCAAGATCGAGGTCTCCTTTGGTGCTCTCAAGCCACAAATCATCAGCATCGAAGACGATAATTGATACTGGAACACAGATCTAGGTCTCCTTCAGTATTGTTCAGCCACAAACTGTTTACACTGAAGCCTTTGACACCAAGAGGCTCACTGATACCAGAAGGCAGTTGTAGGCAAACAATGCTTAGACAGAGTCAATTCCATTCATTGACACAGGGAGCAGATTCACACTACAAACAAACAAAAAAAGAGTTTATGGTGAAAAGAATCTCCAGGATAACATATGACTGTGGAAATAGAAAAACATTTTCAACATCAAACACCTTCCTCAGTACCAAAGAAGGACCATATTGATCAATTTGAAAATGACACAAAAAGAAACATGTAGCAGTAAAGATCCAGGTTAAAAACTGGCAATACTGAGCTTGAGAGAGAGAGCAAGCAGCACTGAAATCAATAAGTCTTTTGAATCTAAGGAGAAGCCAATTGGGAAGCTTGCAGATCAGTAAGAGATGATACTACAAAGTGAACCAGAGAGCTCTAACACAGAAGTCGAACAGGACTCTTCACCTGCACAATGGGGGCAGTGCACTAATTTCCCAATCCCTCCTTATTCACTTTATTCACGCAAAAGAAACTATCTGGACACCTAGCTTCACTGTGGTGATTTTGTGTACAAGCCACAATGCAATTTTTTCCCTGTGTTCTGGCTCCTTTATAGACCCTCTACAGCAGTGGTGTCGAACTGTGGCCCTCCAGATGTTCTTGGCCTTCAACTCCCAGAAATCCTGGCCAGCAGAGGTGGTGGTGAAGGCTTCTGGGAGTTGAAGTCCAAGAACATCTGGAGGGCCACAGTTTGACACCACTGCTCTACAGTTATAGCAGAGTTTCCTCTTGAGGCAACTGTTTTTGTTTGAGATAAACACTGATGGGGGAGTGAAAGATGGTGTGCCTCTCCCCCTCCCACTTATGTGTGGAATACACATACTTTGTAAATACCTGAAAAGGACTTAAGAGTTCCTGGTTCCTAGAATTTCTGAGCTGTCTTCAGATAGATGGCCATGACCGAGCCTTTAAAAAAAAAACAACACAGCATTCACAACAAATATAAATATTAGGTTCAATAACCCAGTCCCAAACTCCTTCTGTGTACTCAAATATTTAAGTCATGAGAATCTACACTGCGTTTTCTGATGTGAGGTATTTTCAAAGGCAAGCAAACATCATCTGGAAGTTGCTTATGGACTGCTCGTGCTCCAAATCAAATAACCTTCATTTATTTACTGAAAGGCCATCTGTCACTTATGCTGTATCTTCACTTTTAAAAATGCACTATGGGGGTGTCCAATAGTCCATCTTTTCCACTTAGGTCTTCATTTCAAAGGGCACTTTTTTGTTAGAGTGAAAGAGATATGAGCACTTCTAGCTGAGGGCCCATCATTGAAACAGGTCACACCCAAGCTGAGTTGGCTGTTCCTTAATAACTTATCTGATACTGAAAAAATTGGTAAACAACCTTTGGGGAAATCTCCCACCTACAAATCTTGAGGTAATTTGGATAAACACAAGTCCACAGGCTCTGATTTACATCTTCTCAAATGCCCAAGGGGGGATCCTTTACTTCAAAAGCTGTTTCTTTGGCCCAAAAATAAGTAAAATAAAGTGATCACTATGGCGGTGTTTGAAATGGCAGTCTTAACTGCACCTTTGTCTGGTCAGCCTGTATTAGTTGTGGCCTTGATCTGTCCTGCTGCACAAGGGTGATTTTTCTCCCACTAAGACAAAAAGATAATTCTGTTATTTCAAATGGTGATGTTTTCATGTTGTTCCCTTTCTTTGAGGCGGGTGGGAATTACGCATCTGGACAGATGGCTCATATTCATGCCAGATTCCATTATCTCTCCAGAAGGAGACCTGCTCCTGCAGTCTTTAAAGCAGAGGTGATGAACTTTTAGCTATCCAGATGTTTTATGCTTCAATTCCCAGATGTCACAGCTAAAGACAGTCTGAGGTTCCTCACCACTGCTCTCAAGGTTGGCACAGCAGAGAGCCATTTTCAGGTGCCCTGTGCAAGAGCTGCCTTTGCATGGTGAGCTTTTTATGCACAGTTTCCTACCACCCTGCAGACTGAGGATTTTAGTTTCCACATTACGCTAGACGTATTTTTTCCCCCCTGGCTGCTTAGGTTACAAAGAAAATTGCCCAGTGTACATTTTCCCCATGTCGGTTAAGATATAAACCAAACACCTTAAGCATTTAGTTTTTTATTAGGATTATTTTGATATTTTCTTCCTTGGGTGTGCAAAAAGGGCTCTCAGTATTACGGACCTTGGTTTTGGGAGCTGAGGTGGGTGGGTTGCAGTTTGTCTGCCTCATGGCTCAGGTAGCAAAACATTTTGGGGTGGCTCTGGATGCCACCTGGGTCCTGATGTATTACACCATTCCCATCAGTTTCTATAACGATGCCTGCAGCTTTCATACTTTTCCAGCTTAGAGCAATGCAAAATGTTTATTCAGTTCAGGGGGTTGCTAGTGCTAATTCATAGTACTGTACTTTGTCATTGACTCTTACCTCTAACATTGCAGCTTGTTGTGATGTCCGGAAGCTGTGGCTGCACAACTCAGCTCTACTGTTCTTTTGTTTTTAAACATTCCCTTTATGTTTCAAGCAAACCTATACTTTGAAACGGAGCCGGCTGGCCTGGTCCCAGGGGTGTGCGTTCAAAATCTGGTGAAGATCTTCCCCAGTTCCTCTAAGCCAGCAGTGGATGGTATGAACATTACTTTCTACGAGGGTCAAATCACTGCTTTCCTTGGCCACAACGGAGCTGGAAAGACAACCACAATGTAAGTCAGTAGCATGGCTGCCTTTCATTTTTTTAAAAAATCCTTTTGCATAAGTTTCCTTCCTTTTTTGTTTATGTGTGAAAGGCAAAATTAGTAGACGGCATAGCTCAGAGGCAGCACACACGTTGTGTTGTGCCATGATTCAGTCCACCATGTTTCTGTAAGAGTAGACAAAGTCTGCCATCTGATACCTTGGAGAGCTATTCCCAGACTGTCTATGTGAGAGTGGGCACTTTGAGCAGCTCCAGAAGTTGATCTGCTTTTTTTTTTTTTACCTCTAGAGTAATGGTTCCCAACTTTGGGTCCCCAGATGTTCTTGGAATAAAACTCCCAGAAGCCTTCACCACTAGCTGTGCTGGCCAGGGATTCTGGGAATTATAATCTAAGAACACTGAAGGGCACAAAGTTGGGAACCACTGCTCTAGATGCAGCACAGTCTGCCAAAAATGTCTCCCTATGGCAAAAAACCAGAAGTGACTGGAAGTCCACTTCTAGTTTTGAAAGAAAAGAGTATTCTGATGTGAGTGTCTTAAGCACTGCAGAGGCCCCTCCAACCTTTTAAAAAGTCCATCTCTATTCCTAGAGGTTTCCAGCAGTACCGATTCACCTTATTTCCACTGGGAAAACTTTTTGTTATTTTTCAGGGAATCTGATGACCCTAGGTGTTGCAAAAACAGCTTTGAAGGATTACACTTCGCCCACACCTGTTGTGTGTTTAGTCGTTTAGTCGTGGGTTGCAAAAACAGCTTTGAAGGATTACGCTTTGCCCACACCCGTTGTGGAGAGTACCAAACTAGATTGATCACTGTCCGACTTACACAAAGCACCTTCTAAAATTCCTAGATTATAATGCCCTTTTAAAAAGAAGAGGAGGACGAGGGCAAAGTTATAACTTTTTTTACTTTAAGCTTACTTTATGCTATGAGCCACCTTGGATCCTTTACTGAGAGGAAGGCAGAATGGGTAAAACAAAACAAAACAAAATACAGTAAAAATGTCATGTAGAAAGGAAAATAAAATAAAATTCTCATGTGGAAAGGAAAGGATAATCTTCGCTTAGCTCAGCTTCTGGTGCCCACAATATTTCTGAACCTGAAGGCATATACAGCAGTGGCACTATGTGCAGGGATTTTATTGTATTGCTGCTGGGATTCTAGTTTGCTTCCACCTGCCCAGCATTCACTGCATAACCTTAACCAAGACAGATTTGACTTGGAAATTCAATCATAATCATGACCAAGGAACAAGAGAATGATTTAGGTCTGTAGGAAACATGCATGAGCATTGATTGACCCAAGCAAAGGATGAACTCTCCAGGTAAAAGTTTGCTTCATCAGGTGACCTGATCATGTTACTCACCACTGTCAGTCAGGGCATGTCCAGGCAAAGAAAGTTGGAGCAGTCTGGCTCATGGTTAGAAGGTTCTCTTACCTTTAGTGCCATCTATTTCATCTCTCTCTTGAGTGATCCCTTAATTCACACTGATCAATGTTTCTTCCCCCATGAGAAGGGTCCAGACAGGTCATCGAATCTCTCTGATTTTGTTCTCCTTTCAATTAATGACACTCTCCTTCCTGCCCCCTTTCCCACCTTTTCCTGTGACCATCATTCAGTGGGCTGTGGTGGCTTTCTTTCTTTCTCTTGCTTAAATAAAGTGGCATGGCATAACAGAAATATAGTTACCTGACATGGTATACGTAATACCACCATTTTATTCCATTTACCTAAAACAGAGCTGCATCATTAGGAGAATATATTTTAAAATATTTAAAACAGTAGAGTAGATGAAAATAGGGGGTGGGACTCTCCCTCATCCCTTTTAATGCACCAACCCACCAAATTCATCACAGGGTTTTCACCTCAGATAATACTGCTCACAGCTCTATTTGAATGCAAACTAGCTATCCACACTATCCAGAATGGGATAGTTAGGAGTGGTCCAAACCTCCCCCCAAAAAATCTTGTTAGCCCTACATTTTTGCCAGAATGGAGCAAGATGGCTCTAAAAAAGGGGTAGGATGATTCACACTAAGTCAAAAAATGTGGATTTGAACTGAACAGCACCAAAAGCAACCCAGATAGTGAGCTATATGCCCATCTAGACATGCCCCGAGTTTCATCTAGAAGAAGCAGTAAACAACATTTGCCTGTGTGAGCCTGCAAAGCATTTGGCACCTAGTCTGCTGAACATATTTCTGACCCAGAGAAGATTTCAAAGGAAAATGATGCATGATGTGGATGAGCATTTCCATCCAAACAAATCATTTCAGCAATATTCCTCCAGAGGATAAAAGGCTGCAAGACAAATCCAGTGTTAAACATGACAAAAGCAGACTAATTAAAATCAATAGCTCTTTTGTACATTATGACTAAAATTCCGATTTGTTCTGGTGGATCTACTCTAGTTGAGAATAACACTGGATATAGACCACGACGACTTCTGTAACTTCCAGAAACCCCCAGCCTGTATGCCAAAAATATAATTGTCCCAAGTTCTTCTATGTGCACATGTATGATTAAAATGGGCCTATGTGTTTTGAGTTACATGTTTTGTTCATTGGAACAAGTGAAGTTTAAGATCAAGTCGGAAAATTCTAAAAATGCAGGTACGTAACTGCTTGGTTCCCCTATAGAGGATTGCTCTCAATCACCCTAACTCCTGTGATTTATAGTCACTCTCCTCACAATAGCTCAGCTTGTGGAAGAGAGAAAGGAAAAAAAGGAAAAAGAACACAATTGTTTCAAAGGAGGCAAGGCCTTGGGAGAGGGAAATGCCTGCCTCGTAAAGTGGAAGTAGTAAGAGAAACAAAAGCAGATGTCTCTGGGCAGAGCAGCCTTTTCCTCGGGTCAGGATCCTCAGTGAGAATGAGGGGGAGGATCTTTTGTCTGGAGGAGCTTAAAAAGCAATGAAGTCAGCAAAGCTGATATGTTCCTTCCCCCCCCCCCCCGTGAGAGAGTTCCAGTTGCCTTGTTTCTCAGGGGTCTAGACAAACAAACAATCCCTTGGCTTTTCAGTTCCCATTGCCCCGAGGTTTCTTCCTGAGTAGCTCCCCTAAGCTGTGCCCAGGTCAACATTTCAAAATCTGGAGGTGCTGCAAATCTCCTACCTCCGCAAGAGACCTCAAAGCTCACTGGGACTCAACCACTCCCACCACAGGGTGTCTGCTGTTACAGCATCCTTGTGAGGGAGCCACACAGCCTCTGCTTAAAAAACATCTAAGGTGACAGTCTGTTCCACGCTCAAAATCTCAGGAGCAACTAAAAACAAATAAGCGGCGTTGTTGGTGTCCCAGCTACAGAGATGTCTTTGCATGGGCAGAAGAAGGATGCAAAATGAACACACAAGGCCTGAGTTCCCAAGGAAGAAAGAAACTGAAACTGCATTTTGAAAATGAGTGTCATTTATTTTTTAATCGCTCCCCACACCTATCCCTGTACAGTGGGGTCTCTACTTAACAACGTCCCTACTTAAGAACAATCCAACTTAAGAACAGCTCCATTTGCTAAATTTTGCTTCTACTTGAGAACAGAAATCCAAGATAAGAACAGGAAAAAAAAACTTTCCTGCTCTTTTTGTAACCTTAGGTCATCTTAGGTTAAAAAATTTTTTTCCCCTAGTGGTAGAGTACGTATTAACCAGCTTTGCATTAGTTCCTATGGGAACTAATGCTTCAGTGTACGAACGCACCTCTACATAACAAAAAAACAGCCAGAACGGATTAATTGGTTTTCAGTCCATTCCTATGGGAAATTTTGCTTCAACTTAAGATTCTAGGTCCTTTCTCCAGTCCCTTCAAATCTCGAGGAAAATTTTTAAAGAATCTTCACTCTGCGCTTAAATCCTTTCTCTTTCAGGATCACTTTAATAAAGCAGTTCAGTAGAACGAAAAATAACATTCAATAAATTCCTCTCAGCCCACCCTCCTCTGTAAGCCTCTCCAAAGGCTTGTCTGTTTCTTCCTTGACTTGGCCCATCAGTCAGCACCTCAGGAGACGAAGTCCCACCAAGCTGCTTTTTTAAAGCTGGCCTCAGATTTGCATTTCCATTCTTCCAAGGGCCTCCGCAGATCTCAAGCTCCATCTAGTGACTCTCTAAGATCTTATTATTTCAATCATGGTTGTGTAATCATTTAATTAATATTTAATTATTAATCATATATATTATATTTAGATTTATAATATATAGTCTAATTTTAACATAGATAAGTGCCCTACAGGCCCTGTTTTTATATGTTTTAATGTCTTTTTAATGCTTGTATGTTTTTAAGTCTAATTTTAACATAGTTAAATGCCCTACAGGCCCTGTTTTTATATGTTTTAATGTCTTTTTAATGCTTGTATGTTTTTAAAACCGTTCTTGATGTCTGTTTTTATTATGTTTAATAGTTATTTTAATGGTTTGTGTATTCAGTTTTAATTTTCCTTGTTTTAACGATGTGTGAACCACCTGAGTCTCTTCTGCTAGAGAAAGGTGGGGAAAAGTGCAAAAATTAGAAAACAATAAATAAAATATTGCCTGTGTCAGTGATGAAAAGTATATGTTTCTCATTATGCTTGGCCAGGTCTATCCTCACAGGGTTGTTCCCCCCTACATCTGGAACAATATTGGTTGGTGGGCAGGATATCCAGACTCACATGGACTCAATCCGGCAGAATTTAGGCATGTGCCCCCAGTACAACATCTTATTTAATCAGTAAGTCCTTTCAGAAACTTGTTTTAAAATAAGGAATTTCCTAGCCAAAAGTTTATGATTGCTCCAGCTGTTCCATGATGGATCGAGACTACTTTTCTTCAGCTCCTAGAATCCATGACCATTGGGCCAGCTAGTCCAACAACTATTGTGTGAGGAGTTAGCAAAGTGCTTCAAACTCCTTTCTGATATCATATTTAAAGGATTAGTGGATGGTCTTCACTCTGTCTCATTTACCTGGAATCAACGTAAAGTGATCAGTGATAATGAATGAAAAATGGCTGAGTCAAAAATTCAAATAACTTTGTCATATTCTGAGTCAGATTTTTTGATAATGATAATGATAATAATTGCCTGCTGTCAAGTTTATTCTGATTTAGAACAGGCTTTTCCAGGATTGTCTAGTTATAGAGTACTCAAAAGTGGTTTGCCAATCCTTTCTTCTGTGAGTACTATTGAATTATGCTGCCTAGCCAAGGCTACACAGATTGGTTTTTCTCCTTGGATGTAGAGTGGAGAATTGAACTCTCAAACTCTGGCTCTGCATCCAGATACCTAACTCATGGTTGTGCCATTTTGAGAGGTGGAAAGATCTGGCATATGGGGAAAAAAAACATAGCAGCATAATGGCCAGCAGAAGGAAGCTTTGAATTTAGTGTGTTTAAGCTGTGTTTCTAGGAACCCTTCCATGAACATCTCATAATCTTGAAGTGTCTTCACTAGAGATGGGGACGACTCACCATTTTGGCGAGTCATCCCGCTTCGTGAGTCGTCAAAAGTTGACGACTCACGAAGCACGAAGTTGCCCCCATGAAGCGACAAATAACAAAGTTATTTGTTGCTTCATGGGGGGGTTATTTAAAAAAAACCACCACCACCCGCTGCCAACCATCAGGGCTGTGCCAGAGCTCCCCCTCGACACCCCCACCATACCCCCTTACTATAATTGCTGCTGCCACCACCAAGGTCTCCATCTGGCCTCCACAGCCACGGTGTGTAAAAAGGGAGACTGGCTGCCCTTTGCAAAGATGACAGCAGCAGATTCCTTACCTTAAATGAAGCCACAGCCGCCATCTTTGCAAAGGGCAGCTAGTCTCCCTTTTTACATGCCATCGCTGGCGGTGGCAGCAACAATTACAGTAAGGGGGTGGGGTGGGGCTAAGGTAGGGAGAGGAAGGGGGTGGAGTGGTAGGCTGTGGGAGTCGGTGGCTGCCTATCAGCCCACCAATTAGTTGATTGGCGGCCGGTAGGCAGAATGTTTTGTTTTTTAAAAAGTTTACGAAGACGAATAAAAACGGGAAAATAAAATTTGAGGAATACAGATCAATGAATATTTAACGAATTGGCTATTTTCATTGAAAAAAACCAATTGGTTTATATATTTGTCCCCATCTCTAGTCTTCACACTTAAGGCAGCTGAGTGCTTAGAGAGATTCTTCATTTCTGATAGTGTGCACACATTTACTTTTACTCCATGACATCTGGGAAGTGTCATGGAACAGGTTTTGCAGATTTTTGAAAGTGAGAAAGCCTATGTTTCAAAGGCTGAATGAGGGGAATAGATATAGATATAGACACACACATACAGACAGATAGACAGATAGAGAGAAAGAAGAGTAAGGATCCCTTGGTAAAGCACAGCTTAAGTAGTGGGGCTGGGGTGAGGAGCAATCTTTCTCTTTCTGCATTTTATTTTGGCCAACTAAAACAAGACTATTTTTTTCATAGCCTTACTGTTGCAGAACACATCTGGTTTTATGGACAGCTGAAAGGAAGATCCCGAGATGAGGCAGAATTAGAAACTGAGATGATGTTAGAAGACATAGGCCTTCCACATAAGAGGAATGAAGAGGCTCAGAATTTGTCAGGTACCCAAAGGTTTGCTACCATGGATCTTTGTGCATTTTTTAAAAAGCTTTTAATATTTTAGTATCTGTTACTTCCTCTGAGGGCAAAATTAGATGTTCTAATACATGTTTGGCACCACATGTATTGAAAACACCAGGTTAAAAACCAAATGGTACCTCTCAATGATTTTTTTAAAAATCATCAAATAAGATCATTGACCATTGAACACTCTTCAGTGCTATCGTTTATCTGTCACTTGAGGAAGCTATATTTCTTTGTTTGATACAGAATTATCTGTATATTTCCATATGTCTGTTAGTTCTAAGACTGGAAAATATCTGACAATCAAACTATTCAAGCCACTTGACTGAAACTGGAATCATGGCCAGCCACACCCGTCTGCAGAGTGAGGATGCTCTGCCTCAAACAGCAGATTAAACAAATAAATAAACAGTAGATAAATAGGTACCACCACGGTGGGAAGGTAATGGCGTTCCGTGTCTAGTCACGTTGGCCACAAAACCACGGAAACTATCTATGGACAAAACTCTGGCTCTACGGCTTGGAGACGGGGATGAGCACCGTGCCCTAGAGTCGGACACAACTGGACTAAATGTCAAGGGGAACCTTTACCTTGATGCATTGATGAAGTAGATCTGGCCCTCAAAAAACCTATCACATAAAATATTAGTTAACCTTTAAGATACTTGGAAAAATTTCTGTTAAATTTAAAAAGCAATTTGATGATATCTTGGCCTACCACATGCTTCAGAGAAGCAACCTGTATTCCTATCAAGCTTGTATTCGGGGGGGGGGGGGGG